GGCTCGGGCTGAGGCCGATTTGGCTGGGGTGATGTATAGGATGGGTCTCAGGCTGGGATGAGGCTTAGCGCGAGGCTTGGGCGCGAGCTGAGGCTGAGGCCTGGGCTGGGCCAGATTGTGGCTCAAGGATTTGCTGGAGCTTAGGCTGTGCTCGTTCGCGGGTTCGGCTTAGCTGAGGCTGCGCGTCCACGGTGCGGGCGGGCCCCTCCGCGTTCTTCGGTCACCATGTCTGGGTGCTGCTTCCACAAACCACGCGCTCGTCGATGATGGCGGCGCGGAGACTTGCGCCCTCGCCTGTCCTTGGGGGCCAGCCGCCTGGAGGCGGGGGGCCGAGGGTTGCAGGGGCAGGGCGCGCGGCCGCGGCCTGGCGCCCCGGGCGGTCGTGCGAGGTCGCGCGCGGCTCCCTGGCGCAGGGGCTTGGGCGGGATCCTGGGCTCATGCATGAATGCCAGGGCGTGCGACGTAGCGCTGGGGCCCACTGCTAAGGCCCGACGGAGTGGGTCGCAGGCCTCGCGCACCCGCGGCGCGGGCAGGGCCCTCCATGTTCTTGGGTCTCGAATGTTCTTCGGTCTCGGTGTCAAGGCGCCGGCTCCAGCAACCGCGCGCTCGTGGGCGATGGCGGCGCGGAGACGCACACCCTCGCATGTTCTTGTTTTTCGGGGACAGCGGCCTGGAGCTGCTGGGCCTCAGGTGGCGGGGCCAGGCCGCGCGGCCGCGGCCTTGAGTCTGGGGCTGGCAGGCCAGGTCGCGCGCGGCTCGCTGGGGCATGAGGTCGAGGGCGAGAGCTTGGGCGGGTGCGCGCATGAGTGCCAGGGCGTGCGACGCGGCGCTGAGGCCCACTGCTAAGGCTCAGAGTCCGAGGCCGCAGGCCTCGCGCGTCCGCGGCGTGGGCAGGACCCTCCATGTTCTTCGGTCTCGGTGTCAATGTGTCGCCTCCAGCAGCCGCGCGCTCGTGGATGACGGCGGCGCGGAGACGCACACCCTCGCATGTTCTTGTTTTGGGGCAACAGCAGCCTGGAGCTGGGCCTAGGGTGGCGGGGGCCAGGCCGCGCGGCCGCGGCCTTGAGTCTGGGGCGAGCAGGCGAGGTCGCGCGAGGCTCCCTGGGGCGCCGCGGGGTTGGGGCGAGAGCTCGCGCGCGTGCATGAGTGCCAGGGCGTGAGACGTGGCGCTGAGGCCCACTGCTAGAGCCCGACTAAGCTGGTCGCAGGCCTCGCGCGTCCGCGGCGCGGGCAAGACCCTCCATGTTCTTCGGTCTCGATGTCAACGTGCTGCCTCCAGCAACCGCGCGCTCGTGGATGACGACGGACGCGCGGAGGCAGATCCAGGGCACAGGAACACAGCGTGGGTCTCGGGGGGCGGGGGGGGGGTCAGGGCTTCGGGGTTGCGTGGTCCAGGCTGTGCAGTCGAAGGCTTTAGGCTGGGGGCTGAACCAGATGCGTACTTACGCACGTTGGCTCGGAAGTGAAGGTCGGGGACACCTCGGAAGGGCGTCCTCGACGTCCTTATGGTTTGGGGTACTTTGGCCCGCGGAGAATCTCATGTTCTTGTCCGATGTTCTTGTGGCCTTGTTCCGGCCGTAGTGGTCGCGTGAAGGCGCAGTTTCTCACGCGAGCCCTCCCAATTCGCTGCGATCGGTGCAGATCCAAAGTTGGCCATATGGTTTTTTCGTGTCGGGTGTTTTTGTATTTCTCCTTTTGCTTTCTCCCTCTCATTGTTTCTGTTGTCCCCGATCGCGCGTGAAGTTTTTTATATGAAAAGACCACCATTATTTCCTTGGGCGGTGTTACCAGAGTTTTTTTTGTTTTTGTTGCGTGCCGCGATCACTTGTTCTTTACGTCTCGGCAGCCGGAGGGATCTCTGTCAAAACGAAAAGAACAATGAGGGAACACTCTCGAAAAGGAGCTCGGCCGTTCCTTGTAAATGTATTAATTTATTATGAAAAAAAAAACAAAGCTTTGTTCTTTATTTAGCGTTCATTGTTTGGAAGAATCCTGAGTATATTGGGTTTCAATATATTGGGTTTCCAATATTAAATTCCCAATATATTGGGTTTCCAATCTACTGAGTTTCAGCTGTGTCGGTTTCCTATAAATTGGGTTTCTAATTTCTTGAGTTTCCAATCTATTCGGTTTCCAATATATTGGGTTTCCAAGATATTGGGTTTCCAATATGTTGGGTTTCCAATCTATTTGGTTTCCAATATACTGGGTTTCCAATATATTGGGTTTCCAATTTACTGGGTTTCCAATATAATGGGTTTCAAATATATTGGGTTTCCAATTTATTAGGTTTCCAATATATTGGGTTTCCAATGTATTGGGTTCCTAATATATTGGGTTCCCAATATTTTGGGCTTCCAATATATCGGGTTTCTAATATATTGGGTTTCGAATATATTGGGTTTCCAATATAGTGGGTTTCCAATGTATTGAGTTTCCAATATATTGCGTTTCCAATATACTGGGTTCCCACTATATAAGCCCGAACCCGAACCCAAAC